GTATGAGAAAGAGATATCAGCCCTCCCATGTTTATGGCACAGTTATTCACAACAATCAAGATATTGAAATTACAAAAGCACTCATCAAAGAATGAATGGATAGAAGAAATGTTTACATATCAAATAAAATTCTACTCAGACATTAAAAAGGAAACAAATTGTCAATTGTGGCAACATAGAAGAATCTAGAAAACATTGTGTTAAATAAAGTAAGCCAGGGACAGAAAGACAAGTACCAATTAAATTTACTTATACGTGGACTATTAAAAAGTCAAACTAGGGGCCGGAGAGAGAAGAATGAAGTTTACCAAAACTGAGGGTTAGAATGGGGTAAAATATCAGTGGGGATGTGTGGGTCCAAGAGTATGAAGTTTCACTTCAGCAGGAGGAATAAGTTCTGGTGATCTATTGCACAGCATGGTGAATAGAGTTAATAGTACTGTATATTTCAAAGCTGTTAACAAAGTGGATTTCAAATGTTCTCACCACAAAAAATCTGTGTCAGATAATGAATATGTGAATTACCCTGATTTAATAATTTCACAATGTATACATGTGTTAAAACATCAAATTGTACCTCATAAGCACATACCATTATAACCTGTCAAGTAAAACAAAATAAAAATAATGTTAAAAGTCTTGTCCAATAATATTAGAAAAAAAGAAAAAAGTATATATTGAGCACAAGAGAAACACATTGAATTCAATGTTATGAACAGGTTGAAAGTTAATGGGCAGGAAAAGATATACAATGTAAACATAACCATAACACAGATACACCAGCTGACCATACTAATACCAAACAAACAAAATTAAAACAAAATTGTTACTAGGGGACTGGCCCCATGGCTCACTCAGGAGAGTGTGGCACTGGTAGCGTCAAGGCGGCGGGTTCACATCCTATATAGGGATGGCCGGTGTGCTCACTGGCTGAGCGTGGTGTGGACCACACCGAGCTGAGGGTTGCAATCCCCTTGCCGCTCAAAAAAAAAAAAAAAATGTTACCAGGAATAAAGAGGGTCATTTATGACAAAAGTGTCATTCAGGAGGACACCATAACAAGTGTAGGTATACATGCACAAAATGAATAAGTCCAACATCAAATAAAAATAATTAGAGAAGAAATTAAGGGTAAAACAGACTGTTCTATGTAAATGTTCAGATATGTTAAGTGCAACTTTCAATATTCGATAAAACAACTCAGCAAAAGACTGACAAGGGTATAGAAGTCTTGGACAACATTATAAAACTTGAATTTACAGATATGTATATATAGACACAACACCCAATAACAGAATACCCAATCTATTCAAGCCCTTGGAACATACTCCAGAAAAGACCATCTATGATGCCATAAAATATCTTCAATAAATTTGAGGATTGAAATTATACAGTGTATGTTCTCTGACCACAATAGACTTAAAAAGAAAATTATTAACTGAATGATACTTCAGTAGTTCACAACTACATGAAAGTAAAAGAACAAACTCCCAAACTGCCAGTGAGCCATAAAATCGACACTAAAATTTGAAACATTTTCACAAACAGTAATACAACATACCAAAATTAAAAAGGGCTTAGAGTAAAATTTAAATTTGTAAATGTATACATTTTAGAAAGTTCAGAAATCAAAAACCTAACCTTTCAAATAAAATCCTAGATAAAGGAGGAAAATTAAACTTCCCAAAACAGAAAAAAGAAAATAATAAAGATTAGAGTGAAAATGAGAAATAAATGATGGTGCTGTACTCTCTGCCTACAGTTACCAGAGATTTGGGGACAGAATGGTGGCAGATGGAAATGACCTCCCTGCCCAAAAGGATCCCAGAGACCCTGCCTCCAACCACACCCCTCGGGTTCTATGCTGGACACCATTTTGTCTTACTTGCTCATACCCTTCTTTGGGGCCTGGCTCTCCCCCACACCAAGGGCTCTGATGGCAGAGAGTCACCACAGACTCGAGAAGTCTCCTTAGGTGAAAATAGGCTCTGGGGTCATCTCTAGGTCTGGAGGACTACATACAAGCACAGCCGTGCACAAGGCAATACACAAGTAGAGTCGGGATTTACCTCTTAGTGGCAAGATTCAAAATAGCACTCCATCACCGCAAACAGAAACACAAAAGATTTCTTAGCTATAGGGCATGTGGTACACAGTCATACCTATGATTTGACACCATTTCAAAATATGAGGAATAGGTATAAAAGATAAGTATCCCTTCCAGGCACTGCTTTTCACTGAGGAAAATAAGAAAATTACCATTTACAGCTGTTTAAACAAGTTGCTTACAATTATGTGCCTGTGAATTTGTGCATTCACTTAGAAATGTTTCTGTTCAACCCATAGACTCACTTTGCATTAGCTTCAAGCATCATAAGAAATTACCTTCAAGCATTGTAAGAAATTACCTTTACTTAGATAGTTTTGTAATACTGGTCATACAAATTTACCTAAAATGGGAGAGTAGGAAAAAATCTGGGCTGGCCCATGGCTCACTGGGGAGAGTGTGGTATGGATAACACCAAGGCCATGGATTTGGATCCCTATATAGGAATGGATGGTAAGCTCACTTGGGAGAGCATGGTGCTGACAACACTGAGTCAAGGGTTAAAATCCCCTTACTAGTCAACTTCTATTAAAAAAAATCTATGTAGTGCAGTATCTTAGACAGTATATTTAACAAAATATACTGAAGTTAGAGTGGCAGTTAATGTCAAAAATCCTGAAGGAAGTCAAACCAACTTTATTATACTAAGTGTACATATTCCCTATCCACAGTTATGCTGGGTTCCATTAAGAAGCATTTTTTCCCCCTTTTTGTCTTTTTTCGTGACCAGCAACGGGATCGCAACATTCGGTGTCACGCCCGCACCGCGACCGGCAATGGGATCGCAACA